TCCCCCCCCCCCCCCCCCTTTCTGTTTTACAAAAACATTGTAGGCTAACAGAATTCTATCTATCCATGGTAATATCACTTAGGAAACAGAACTTTTTCAAATCTTAAATGAAACTGAGTATGTTTCTGTGATACAACCAGACCCTTTTTCCTTTATAATCAAATGTACTATACTAAATTCATCATAAATCAATAATCCACACTTTAGAATATAGTGTTGCATTAGGAACATGTGCTACATACTGGCTGCTCCTCATTGTCCTCACCTTATATGACCCATGGCCCATAACCCCGACCAGAAGTGTTAAAGTACTGGGAATGTGGTTTAGACTAGATTACTAGCTCACTGTTTACTGAATACTAATGCAATTTATAATGCATGAAAAATGGTAGGCCTAAATGAAATAGCAGGAGTCTTACCACGTTGCATAATTCATTAAGTTATCATATTGAAAATGCAGTCTTTTGCACCCCCCCAAGTTTTGCCTAAAAATATCTTTTAAAAATATCTGTTTCATCAGACTGACAAATTTTAAGGCAAGAAGTTTCAAACTATGGCTGATATTACTTTCGGTTCATCCATCACAGTCAAACTCATTGCATTATGGGATTTATTGCTGTTCTGAACATAGCCAGTGAAATAACATCTTCCTCTTCTACATAAATAAGAGTGCCTTGTGGCTGTGTGTAAAAGAACATATTCCACATAACTTTCACATTTGGCAGCATGGTTGCCAGAGTTTTAACACAACATATGGGCCGCAAATAGGTTAATGTACTCTGTAAATGAGACAAAAATGAATTTTTATTGGCACCAAATTAGCATGCATTTTATGAAAAATATCATAAATTCAGTGTACATTTGAAAATTCGCCAAGTCTTCAATTTGGCGCCTGATGGTTTGGCTTTGGCCCGATGGTGTTCCATTACACTGACAAATTAGATTTTGTTTTGTCAATTTTAGTGTGCTGTGGAAAGCAGGCTAATAATGTAGTTTTAAAATGATGAACATCTACTACCACTAAATGAATTAGGCTTTTATGTAAAATATCATAGAGCCAACGTAAGAGTGGAAAATATTCCAATCTAAGCCTTCACTTTGGTATCTTTGTTGCTGGTATTTTTCCTTTGGTTTACTTTTATCAGGTTTCATGTACTTCATCTTACAGTGAAATAAACTGGAAGTATTGCCGTAATGGCATTCAATAGCTTGTATTTTTTGTCACCTTGTAAAGCTTCAGAACCAGACGCACATAGACAAAAGGTAAGCTTATGAAAAAGACTTCTTGGGTTTGAGAAATAAGTATACTTCCCCTCTCCCTCTCTCTCGCTCTCTCTCTCTCTCTCTCTCTCTGTGTTTGATGATGGGGTGATTTCTTTTCTGTGTGTGGGTTGGTGAGCTCAGCGAGTTTGTTTCTGTGGGCCTAATCCCCTCATGCTGGGCGCCAGCCTATAAAAGGAACACATGTTTGCTTTCAATACACACGCTGATTGAGATCGAGCGGCTACTGACTAACACACAGGTAAGAGACTGGGAGTCTGTGCGCAAAAACAAACTGGGAGAGAGTTGATCCCACGTTTAGTCTGGTTGCATAGTCTACAGCAAGGAAACCCCAGCATGGGCTTGTGTAAGAATAACAGCTTTGACACATTAGTCACCGGTAGAAGGCAATTAAAATGTAATCCTTTTGTGAACATAGCACTTTATTCATCATCAGGGTGAACTGTAACCTTTTTGTCATAACAGAAAAAAATGTAATACAGAAAAGCTGTGGATATAAAGAGAGAGAGATGAATTATAGGTGGTGTGTTAAATAATATAAAAATGCAGTACCAAGTGATGCATGGTTTTATTTATTAATTAAACACAGTCTCCAATTTAAATGACTGTTAATTACTTATTGGGGTGGATGTTATTTTAATTAAAAAGGGCTGCGTGAAGCCTTTAATATCTTACGCAAATATTCTGAAGTAGTGGCAAGAATTGTATCAACCAATATTTCCTAAGTTTTCCATCAGATGCCTTAAGGGTCTCACTCCATGTTTCAGTTGTAATATTCAGCCATTATAATGTACCATTTTGTGATTTACTTGTAAATTAGTCATCCTGGGCAAATTGTTACGTATGAGCATTGTACGTCTGTAACACTACTGTGTAAGTGTTTCAAAGTAAGTGGGTGAAGAATTCATTCAAGGGCTATAAATGTACTCGATGATTTGTTGGAATGGGATTCATTACTTGCTTTGAGCAATATTTAGCACTTCACATCACTACATGTCCAACAATAGATATTTCCAGCAAGAAGGCTGCTAATTATTGACGTTTCTCTGCTCTCTTGTTGTAGTCATCATGTCCACTGGTGGAGAGAAGTCCAAGCCTGCCTCCCAGCCTGATGGGAAGGCTGCTCAAACTCAGAAGAAAACCGAGATGGGCGTGGGAAACTACAAGGTATGTACCGGTACCATATTTACAGATGCATAAAAGTTGCACATGATGACTGATGAAAGGTGCACGATAGCAAACAGCTGTGAAACTGAGCGTCAATTCAGTTTCCATTAGAAATAGATGTGGGAGTTGTATGTATGCTTTATTTTTACACCAAGCTAAACTACAAACTGACAACTTTAATTGAGAGTTGCATAACAAGCAAAACTGACATGATTTTCTCTCTCAGATGTATGTGTATGATCAGGAGAACTTTCAGGGCCGCATGATCGAGATCTCCAACGAATGCATGAACGTGTGTGAAATGGGCATGGATAGAGTGCGTTCCCTCCGCGTGGAGTGCGGCCCGTGAGTGTTCTGTGATACAGATGTGATACAGTGACTTACCAATTGTTGTGCATTTTAACACTTCCTCCATTTTCTCTGTGCTTCTTTTTTTATTTAGCTGGGTGGGTTGGGAGCAGATGAACTTCTGCGGAGAGATGTATATCCTGGAGAAGGGCGAGTACCCCCGCTGGGACTGCTGGAGCAACTGCCACAGGAACGACTACCTGCTGTCCTTCAGACCTATCAGAATGGTATCCATCCCTTTTATTCATTATACACATTCCTGGCTTTGCTTAGAATGTTTTCGGTCCATTTTTAGCCAAATCATTCCAACATTATTCAGATAATGGTTCACTAAGCCATGGTGCTCATTCAGAAAAGTGAGTTTGAGTCCTGTTTCCAGCTACAGATAAACTAAAAAGGAAAAAAAAAAAAAAAATTTAAATCCATATTCATGAATATATTTCCTGACACATTGAGCCATGGCGTTTTTGAAGGCAATGTAAGTTTGAATCTAGCTCCCAACATTTTCTGATCTCTTCCCTCCCATAATTTCCTGTCCTATCTCACTCACTAATAAAAGTGGCTAAAGAGAAAATTATTTGTGAAATCTTATACCTTGATCTCCTCTTGTTTGTGCTCCTCACAGGACCCAGAAAAGCATAAGATCTGTCTGTATGAAGTTGGTGAATTCAAGGGCCGTAAAATGGAGATTATCGATGACGATGTTCCCAGTATGTACACCTTTGGCTTTACCGACCGCGTCGGCAGCATCATGGTCAGCTGTGGCACGTAAGTGGTCTCTCATCAAAGAAATCTAAGTAGACTGTGAATTCTGAACATAAAAGTGAGAGCTCAACATAAAATATAGATCTGATAGGAGAGAAATTTGAAGTCTGTGATCTATAAGTCATACCCGCACTTCATAAATCCACTGAGTTTAGTGGATGTTAAAACACTTTCTTCTAGCTACCGAAAAACATATCAAATGTGGCACTATCAAGATATTGCTCTTTTTTGGGGGTGGGCAACCCGTTCTCATGGGAAAATTTAACTATTTTACCAGGTGCCATTTTAATATGAATTCATACGTTAATTCAAATAATACATACATTTTTTGTAAGTAAGCATGAAGGTCCACTTTTAAACATAACCATTATGCTACTGATGGAAAAGCAAATTGTACAAAAGTGACAAAATGAGTTCGAATGAATTTGTTCATTAGTAATCTCCAAAACGTAAAATTGTTATGAATTATCATGAGTTTGTCTGACTCTGACTATTGGCAGACTTTCTGGAAACCTGTTTTAAAACAGTCATTCATTTTTATCTTGCATTACACACTTCACTTTTAATTTCCATTATAGTCACTCAACCTAAATAAGTTAACAGTATCAAAGCTCCTAATATTTCAATCAACAAAATATGAATAAAATATTTTCCAATGTGGTATAAAATCTGGCACT